AAAAGCTACTTGCATACGTTGGTTCATATTTAAAAAAGTATTTTGTGGCATTTAAAAAATGTTATAATTAAGGAATTTATTTAAAAATATTCGTCTTTATGTGCAAATATTTGAATTTTAAATGTTATATTCGAAAGATCATTTCTTTCGTCAATAACCGAGTCGATAACGTTTTCAACATAATTGTTATTTAAAAAAATTGTATTGTTGCTACCATATTATTTCTAATGGTTTTCAACGTAAAAAAATTCATGAAATAAAAAAGAAAGACTACGCTGTGACTACGTATGAATTCCATCCTTGTGCAAATATCCGCATCAAATATTGTATCGAACGTGAGAAAACATGATAGCACGCCGATTCCAATCTAATGTTTCACGCCATTTATTGGATAACTGAGAATCGTTCATTTAACTGAGACACGATAGCAAGATTCGCTTCCATCATGTCCGTTTGAATATAATCGTTAAGTTGTACAATTAATCACTTCGCGAAAGAGAAATGCAAGAAAATACAGGAAATGGCGCGAAGAGAACTTTCGTTACTCTCATTCATCATCACAATTGATTATTACACTCGTTCCTTTGTTTTCAGAACGTTCTCTTCGCAACGGCTAATTGTCTTTATAATTCTCGTATATCCCTTTGAAGTCGGGACGATATGCTAGATTTGATATGGTAAGTGTAGAGAAAATGAAAATGCATATTACGGACAACCAAAAGAGATTCTAATTTGCAATAATTATTTTACAGTAATTTAAGTGTATATAAATTTAAACACAGACAATTTTAAATGGATAAATAATGAAATAAAATCTACGCTAGCAACTTTTTGAAAATAATAATTATTATGTGTACAAGAGAAAATCGTTGACGCAGCCCGACGAGTGATGCAAAATTGTAAAATATCACAGTAAAGATATAGAATTCTGATATGAATTATCATTTTCAAATATCCTTGAAATTATCTCCGCTTTAAGAAAGATGTCGAAAATATGGCAAATGCTTGCGCAAATTTCGAACTGAAAGCGTTGGTATCCAGGCACTAACCTTGTCACTGTAAATTACGCAGCAGGAGATTTGCAACACAGATTTGCAACGCAGCGTCGACGCCGGGCCTACAGCAGCCTCCGGTCTTGGCCTGACCTCGTTCCTTGGAGCGTCCATCGTTCATCTCACTTCACTCACTCGCGACGCGAGAACATTTTGAGCAGTCCATTCACGTACATACCGGGATAGCGTACGAAATATTCTCGTGCTTTATTTCTACGGTTAAGGCTTCGGTTACAGTGGATGTATATTCTGATGAACTTTTGTTCTGACGAATACGCTAGACAAACAAGCAAGAACGTTTTTTCTATCAGAGAGTTGTACACTGTATGTGTACAGTTCATCAGATGTCGCACGAACAAGTTTGTCATTTAAACGAGTTTGTTTCTCTGTCCGCATTCGTGCGACTGTTGAAATGGATATTGAAAGACTATCAGTTTAGTGTTTGGAAAAATTAGTCTGTGGAATATGAATGAAAAATACTTGAATGAAATCATAAGAGATCTTGTGAAAAAAGTAGAAGATTAGTCAACAAAAAAAAAATATTTTCCATTTCTTTCTTCTGAAACAAACATTTTATTCATGTATTCAGTTCTCCCACTCACGAGTAAAATTTTTAATAATATACTTTTCAAGAAGAGAGAGTATGAATTATCTAAAAATTCGGAATTTTTATATTATAACAAGACTATATATTATTTCAGAATACATTTACAATGAGCACCTATTTTTAATGAACACGAATTCGTCAGAACAAAAGGGTGCTTTCCAATTGTTTAACATCTTGACACAAACGTACATAGGAATTATGTACAAACTGAGGTGCAAATTCAGACCACAGCATGTTGTAAAAAACAACATAAAAATGTCCAACACAGATAATTTCAGCACATTACAGCAACATTGCAAATATTGCAGCAGTGTTACTGCAAATTTCTGTGCTGTATGATTGTTTTTTAGAACATATATATCTAAAAAATCCAAAAACATTATATAAATTTATTTTCTAGATATGCGTGTTGTCTAGAAAGTACAGCGTTGTACGCGATTCAATTAAGAATAAAGTATGTACTGATATGTAGTACTAGAGATAGTACATCAGATAAAATTAGGTTTATTTTTCATACCATACCTATGTATTTTAGTATTTTACAGTATTTTTTAAATCAGCGATGGTGATGGAAACTATGTTTCTATTTCTCTCGCGTTTTCATTTATAACAGCCGTGATTAATAACACAGGCTCTCAAAAAAAATACCCTATGCTGGGGCGGAGATCCGGCTATTCTTATGTATTTTCAGTCGCTGAATACGAATCTAACATCAAAATAGGACCATCCAGGATAAATTTTCAATCTAGAGCGAAAAAATTACCCATTTTTTCGCTCTAGATTGAAAATTTGCCCTGGATGATCTTATTTTTACGTCAGATTCGTATTCAGCGACTCAAAATACATAAGAATAGCCGGATCTCCATCCCAGCACAGAGTACTTCTTTTTTGTGGGCCCGTGTAATCAAGGAACACACCAAGTCCAGAGGAAACTAAAAAAAATGACGTATTTTAACATCAAAGTAAAGCCATTTCGATTTTTTTTTATCCTTATTTGTTCCTTGGGAACTATTTAATTATCACTCAAAAACATACTTACACAGTCAACAGTTAACTATAGTTGCTTTCAGACTGAGGTTGGATGTAATGTGTCGATAATTAAGTACGGGAATTGGAACGGAACTTGTATACAAAAGTGTCTAAGAATATTACAAATGGAAAGTTCCCAAAAAGTTCGTTATTCACTTCTCGGTAACCGTAGACTAACCTCGCACGCGGCCGCGCGACCTTGCGATATCGGTTCCGAGAATCCGAGGTGTTTACATTTGCGAACCGTGCGACGTACGTTGCGGCGGGCCAATTTTCTAACGGCCGTGTGTCGTCGTGTTTATCTGTTCGCCTCGAGAATGGATAATGCAAACGAGCGATCGTAAATGCCCCTCAATTGACACGTTACAACGCGGCGCGTCGCCCAACAGTCCATCCAATCGCACTCTCCCCGATTATATTAGGCACGCGACACGCCACGGACGCGGAAATAACGGCGCGCGGGGGGAGAGTGGAGAGGGGGGGGG